GCAGATGGAAATAATAGACAGTAAGAACAATTCAAATTAAATTTCCGACATTCATAAAAAGAATACAAATTAAAAATAACGTTGGTTTTAATGTTTGAAATGTGTACACAAAGCACAGAGTAGTATGCCGCTAACATGTTACAACTTTCCATAAAAAATCATACGACTCAAAAGCTCTGCATTTTTGCAATTGCTTGGACATATTTGAATGTATAAAGTAACAAACATAATGTAAAAATTCACATGGCAAACATCACAACCAAAGAGAAACAAATGAACATTCCCGCAATATGGCGAATCCTGAGCAGTGTTTCAGTCCAGTGTGCCCAAAAGACCAGCTAAGCAACGAACAAATTAATGAATAAAACAATTCATCCATAGTATAGTTGATGTAAGACGGATCACAAACATTCACCTTATGCAGTAGGCTGAAATTTCTGCAAAGTTTGGAAAGAAACGGTGCACATTGCCCTATTAAATTCTTCCCTCCTGAATTACCAAAAACAATTTCTTTTTCTGCCTTCTCTGAAAGAGAATCAATAATTGCATCTTCAGAAGCAGCAAGGCCTAGCTCAGCATTTATGCCATTTTCCTGCAAGAATCAGTGTCACATTTTATATTACAAAAATAAAGTTGGTAGATAGTAAAAATAAATGGAAGACGTAACTTTATCCTCGTCCCATAAGTGACTCATTATACAAACGGAGAAAGTACCTTCACGCCATTAGCCACTGTTGCACCATTACCGTGTACAGTCTGACCATCAGCCATTTTATACTTCGCTTTTTGTTTCTGGATCTTTCGGGTGCACGATTCGATATATACTAGTTGGTTCATGGCTACATGACTTGCAATAAATAAATATCTACTAAGTTTCTCAATTTGGACAGTAGTTAATATGTCACCTTCGCCACCTTCAATGTCATTTTGCAGGTGAACTTCCTTGTTACCATTAAAAACAGAGGTAAGAGATTTTTTAACCAAATTTGCTGCTATGTTTTCCGGAGACGGATGAATTGAATATATAGCTGCTATGGCTTTATCAACAGCAGCATACCATATATTCTCTGGAAGCCAAGAACTAGTAATCAAGCTTTCTAGCTTATCGAACACCCGGTTGCCATTACCAGCCAACAACTTCTTTTTGTCATCTTCAGACAGTTTTTGGATGGCAATGCAGGCTGTCCTGGCAAGTAAAGGGTCCACCTTAGACCATCGACCAAACCCGATGTCTATAATATCCTGTATATGAGAGCCAACAATAGCAGCAGATGATTTTGATGCCATGCAAAGAACAGATAAAGCACCCCGGCTTTGCTCTGCTGTGGTTCCACCAACATTAAAGCAAAAGAAATCCCATAAAGCTGATATCTGGAGAGAAGAAAAAAAAAATTAAGAATAAACACTTCATTAATTATCTTATACACTCTATGGTAGAAACTCATAGACCACGGATTATTGTGGAGATCGATGCACCATTAACAAGCAAGCTAAAATCACGACAGCTAACAAACTAACTTTTCGGATGTCATCATAAGACAACCGAACTTAAACTCTGTACCCCATCATAGGCATGTCGATCTAATTAGTCACATCTGATATCTGATATCTTCAATTAATTGAAGATACATATATTCACATATCATTCTAATAAAGTTCGTATTCTTTAAATTATTGTGGTAGTATATGCCAGTCTAAAGTTAAATGTTCCATAAAAGAAGTGAATACCATAGAAATGAATTTTTTTCTCTAGTACTTTAACTTTTAGAGTCCGAGCTACTATTTAACTCGTTCAGATGCTACTCAGACTGTAAAGTATAATAGGAAATGAATTAAGTTGTTAACTTGCGAAGAAAAGATGAGAAACAGCGATAAATAGTGAGACATACCGTGCTACCAGATATATCACCCTTCGATACCAAGGCATCAATCATAAACTCCAGAGCTGCAAGATCTCCAATGTTTGAATCAATGGCAAGATGTAGAAGATTTTTAGCAGTTTCAATTGGGTTTTTTGTTATATATATTGTTATGAAGGCGTTCTCAACGGCTTCATAGATGGATTTATCTTGAGAAAATGCCTACAAAAATAATAAAAATTTATTCTACAAAAGAACTGTTCGACAAATTAATGATGAACGATATCTAGCAAAAGGAAAATAAAAATTGACAACTTTAAGCCCCGATAAAAAAAAACTAAAGCATACCAATGGCAACATTTTACGGAGACAAGCCTCTGAACCATCAATTTGGAATTGTCTGCACCTCATCAACAAAAGAATTGTATTCTCAACGTCAGTGGCGGAAGAAGAAGCCATTAACTGAACTAGTATTGGCATTACTTCTGATATACATGTCGAAAACCTTAGGCCAGCCTCTAGAGATGCAACCAAAGCCCTGATCTGCTCCAAGTTTCCAACATCCAAAGTCAAATTGTCCGTCTGAACAGCCTCTTCTTCCATTTGAGAAGGATAGCTATCAGTCAAACTATCTTGCTGGTTCCCTCCCCCACCTTCTGTAAGGCCATTATCAACTTCACCATCACCATTAAAGATATCGTCATCAAATGACAAGCCACCTTCCACATTTTCTGAGGACTTTTCTGGTTCAAGCTCGTCTAATTTCTTCTTATACTGCTCTAAAGTTGCTTCAAATGAAGCTATTCGCAGCTGTGGACCAAATGGGTTATGCTGCAACATAGTGATGAGCAATTGCAGCGCAGATTTTCTGACAATTGCACTCTTATCCTCCAACCTTCCAGCAGCAACCGCTGCCACTTCATTCCACAAACCGATAGAAACAGAATGTGCTTCACATAGGTCAGCCCAAACCTGAAGAACTCGACTCCTAGTGTAAGCTGAAACATCCCGACAACGTTCAAGCAAGATTTCTAGCATTGCCTGCTTGCTTCGAAGACGAACAGATTTACAACTCAGTTCACCTTCAATGTCGCAAAACGCTTTAGCAATCAACTTACCAAGCACCCCCACAAGAGAATTCCTTATTTTATAGGATTCACCACCAAAATGTGGGATCAGAAGTCCAATGTTGGTGGAGAATAACTTTGGGAGCCTGTCAGCGAGCTCTACTAGGAATCGCCCTATGTTTTCAGCACCAGCTGTGTCTTTAACATAGTCTTTCGGGTTAGTCCTTCCAACGTCTCTAATAAGAGAGATTGCCAGGATTCCATCAGAATATTTCTTCTCTGCCCCAGCAACAGCATCAGCGACGTGAGTCACAACGTAATCATACTTGTGAATAAGGTGCATAATTGAGGCACACGATTGGGTCGTAAAGTGATATTTTGTAGAACAAGCACCAATTATACGACACAGAGCATCCTTCGAATCAACATCCTTCAAAAGGATTGGATTCTCGAACATTGAGACCACGTTTCTAAAGAAAACCCAAGTAAAAAGTGTTAAAATTACAAGTAAATACCCAGGGAGTTGTTTTCACCAAGTAAGTTATAGTACGTACTTTGCAATAAAAGACAGATAATTCTCATCCGGGTCTGATGAACCAAAGAGCAACGAGATGTTGATCTCCATTGAATTAGCAATCAAGTTTAATATACGGCCCCTCTGGAGTTCCCAATTCCACGAACTTCTGGGCATTTTCTTCCGAGTACTAGTGGTGACCTAAAGGCAAGATTGAAAGAGCTTGGGTGAAATTCGATTCAAGCTAACAAAACCACAATATTTATCAAACTAAAAATCATTTCGAAAGCAAAAAATGACCAACGTAGAGGAATTAGCAGACAACCTTTGAATTGTTGCTACTACTACCACTGGATTCCTCACTGGTGACAATATTGAGAAGGAAAAACGTATAGATTTTAAAAGCATTGCGATGAGAAGCAATCTGATCGAGAACCGGAGCGTCGGCATCATTACTTGAGGAAGCTCGTGCAAGCGAATCAATGTTGGGAAGAAGAACACTGAAATTAGAGCGGAGACTCTCAACAATATTCAATTTACAGGAGGGAGAGAGGTTATTATAGTCCCGAATCAAAGAGTACACACGATCGAAAATATCCTGCTCTTCGACGCAGAAGAGGTCCTTGTCGGAAAGATCGAAGGAAACGCCTGTTGGAATGGGAGGAAACGAAGAACGCAGATGGGAAATTAAGGGTGATATGTGTTCCAAAATGGAAAAAGTAGTGAAACAGTGGAAGGAGGGACGAACCTTTGACGAATTCTTCAAGTTGAGATGGAGGAAGAGATGCGATTTCTGTAGGATTCTGTACGCAGAGGCGATTGTCGTCGTATTCTTGTTCGAGAGATCGAAGGGTTTGGGGGAAGACGAAAGGGGAAGCCATTGGAGAGAAATCAGAGAGAGACGATGAAGCTTCCGAATCAAAGTTGAGAGTCCAAATTCAAATTGAGAGGGGTTTTCAATGAGCGGGAAGGCACTGTCAGTGTCCGGTCTGTACCGGGTCGGGTCAGATTACGGTCGGTCGGGGCTTCATTATATTATTATTATTATTATTTTATAATTTTTAATCTCTAAGAAATTAACAGATAAATTGCTTAGAATCTTCTAAAATTCTCGATTAAATTTATCCATAAAAAACATATTAACTTTTTTTTATTATTAAAATGTTCAACTGTCACTAAATTATTAATTTGTTAATTTAATTTTCTAATATATTTAAACGCACGAATTAATCAATGCATAAATTAAGTTTTATATGTCAAATAACAGAGTTATAGTTATCAACTTTTATTAATTAATTTATAAACATATTTTGTTTATTAAATTTTTTACAATCATGAATTTATAATATTATATAATTTATTTATAACATATGTAATATTCGCTTTAATTTTGAAAAAAAAATATATATATATATATATATATATATTTATCTACATTTCATCATCTCCACTTCCAATTCATGTCCCTGTTCTACCATATATGGCCTAACACTTCCCTATTTCCGCTCTACATAAAGCTGGCACAACTCCGTAAAACTCAATTCAGTGGGTATCAGTGTCAAACCAAAATATCCAACAAGCATTATCTCTCCCGAAGGAGGTAGAATGAATTGCCCTAACACATATTTGACCAAGAGTTTGTTCAATGTATATAAACTATAGTAAGAAGAAATCGAGAAAACTAAAACTATCAAAAAGTTCTTAGGAATTAAATGTTTTAACAAGATTGCACGTAAGTAATCGATACGAAATATTTCAAATTAACAGGTTCTCGTGGTCATAGCGCTCCAACTAGCTAAAACATGCAGATGACTCAAGAATATACAATTTTTACCAATTCAGGATGGGTGTGGAAGCAGCAGCCAGAGTCCAACACAGCAACTTTTGTTCCTCAGCTTTCACAGTTCGTCCTCATCTACTAATAGCTTTGCCTACATACTCAAATTTTGATCTGCCATTCTTTTTTACCTGCATATGAACGTATTATCGTTCTTCACCTATTGAGAATGGAAGCAACAGTAAAATATAATTTTATCCACAATTCATTGCTGATCATATGAGTAGGATCTGGGGATTTATAACCAGAAGTGTGCAACTATAGCAGTTTGTTCCTGCATTAATAAACCATGACATTGTCATTGTTATTTATTTACATGCTAGGTTTTTATAGATATTAACGTATAGTGCCTATTATCTTGAGCAGTTATACAAATATAAACTTGCAAGTCGTTGTTGAATGTCAGCCTTTCATTGGGTGTCCAATAAGATTAGAGTCGAACCTAACTGTTGAGCTTGAGGGTTGTGTATGTACCCCCATTAGGTAGACAAAGAGTCGTAGTTAAACATACAAAGAAAAGGGATAGCTGCCTTCGAGTAGAGGCTTAACCCGGCTAGCACACTTAAGATTCAACTACCAAGATCCAAAAAGCAAAAAGAGAGAGAGAGAGGGTTGAAGGCTTGAGCGAGGAAGGGTAGTGAAGGAAACCCATACTAGAATGTGGATATCTAGACTCGAAAAAGCAGAAAAAGCCATTCCAGGAAGCTTTAGCTCGTCAACTCTATTCCTGCTGCGTATCTAGTTTATAAGGGATGCTTGACATCCATTCACTAGCTAGCTTAAGGTGATTAGTCCTCAGTTATAGGCAAGTCTTCAGCCTCAAGATTTGTCTAAGCACCTATTCCAAGATGAACCTTCTGACTTACCTTGTTAGGTTTGCGTGCTCAACTACTCCTCCTATCTTCCACTCATTGTTTTAGAAGTATACTCGTTCAAACCTTACTTTAAGCTAAGAATATTTGTTAAAATTATCACACCTCAATAGTAGTAAAACTCTTTATTTATAATCATCAAATAAATTATAAAAGAAATGAAAAAACAATAATTGGGAAGAGCAATAAATGCATACAAGATAATTGCTAGGTCAAATATGGTAGCTAGGTAAACCATAATAAAAACCTAAATATTTAGATATTTGCATATAATAAAAGGTTAAATATGGTAGCAATGGTAAACCGTAATGGAAGGCTAAATATCTAGATATTTGCCTGTAATAAAATGTCAAATATGGTAGCTACGGTAAACCGTAGTGGAAGGCTAAATGTATAGATATTTGCCTGTAATAAAAGGTCAAATATGATAGCTACGGTAAACCGTAATGGAAGGCTAAATATATAGATATTTGCCTATAATAAAAGGTCAAATATGATAGCTATGGTAAACCGTAATGAAAGGCTAAATATCCTTAACATAAGCTATACTCATCATCAATTCCTAATAATATCCATAATATTTCTCTACAAACTTCACAACAGATCTATACAAACAGCCCAGAATCAGCCATCTTTTTCTAGTTTTACAAAGGAAATTAATAGCCAAATTTCCAGTGTCATTTGATATATTAAAGACAATTGGTATTTCAGAAAACGAAAGAATATCTTACAGAGACCCATTGAAGAATAGAGCATAAGACAGTACAAAATATCAGATATTGACGTATAGTTAATATGTTGAATGAACAATGATCAAATGTTAAACACCCAATGGTACTAGAAGCAGAATATATCTCCAAACTTGATGGTATCAGTTGAATCAATGAAGGCCAAACCAATTCATACAGTTCCCATTTTAGGTAGCTATAATTTCTCTGTAAAAGAAAGCAAGAAATAAACAAGAATGGCAACTCAAATTGCAACCTCTTCAATTTCTTGAAAAACACAGGACTCCCTAAAACAATTGTTGCGTACTGGCATTCCTAATCACACTTCACATTATTGAGAAAGAGAAAAATGATTGAACGGACTCTAGAACCCTATAATCAAGCACATGGAGAGCATAATTTGCAGAAATCCGAGATGGGAAAATCAGACGATTCAAACAAGCTTTTTGAAACAAACATTCAAACTTCAGAAGTGAAAACAAAACACCAAAATGGAAAACAATCAGAAAATTCCGAGTTAGGATACAAACCAGAGGGGTTACGAATTGACGAAATCGAAGAATCTCCGGTCAGCCAATGTGGAAAGGGCCAATATCACCAGTTCTGATGGAGCCCGCGACCTCGTCGGCGATGGCCAAACAAGAAGAAACACAGTCGCTCAAGGCTACCCAAACCATGTTAGCGATCCAAAACGCCATGTGCCATGTCATTGCCATGGCCTTTCCGGTGTGTTATTCGAGGTAGAGGCGTGGACTGGGAGTTTCAGAGCATATCCATAGAAGGAGTTGGATTAGATTTGGAGGAAGCCATTAGAGAACAGAGGCAGAGGTTCTTGGGCTGAGTAAAAGATAAAGCTGCAAACTTTATGGTTGAAGAAATGCTACCCGTAGCGTGTAGCTAAAGCCGATTTCACCACAATTTCCTTTTTCAGATCATCTTATTTTACGGGAATTTTTTCTTTTAAAGAAAAAATAAAATTTATAGTAATTGTTCTATAAATGTTAAATTTTTGCCCATATATTTCGATATATTATTTCTTATTCCCGTGCATTTTGATTTTTTTGGATTGAAGTGTTACATATAATTAACATCAATCAATCTGAAAAATAAGGAATAATATATCGAAATATATGTGTTGACATGATATGGTCACTTTAAGTATAAACTCTAGTGATTTTGTTTTTAGTTTCCTGTCTCATCTCAAAAACAAAAATCATAGATCCTCTAACAATATGTTCTTAAAATCAAAAGCAAAAATCACACGAAGAACACTACCACTCTGTGCTTCTTCTTTAAACAACTCCTTCGATTGCTTCTTCGCCATGGATGGATTGTTCCAGTTGCCAAAGCACAAAAGTATGGTTATTGAAATGGATAGAAAAACCTACTGCTATTAGATATTGTCCTCTCAAAGTTTTTAAAACGCATTTATCAATGAGAAGTTTCCACACCCTTATAAAGAATGATTCGTTCCCGGGAGGTTTTTAAAATGTGTTTGGTAAGGAGAGGTTTCCACACTCTTATAAAAAATTATTTGTTCTCCTTTCCAACTGTCGTGGGATCTCACATTTGCTTCCCACTATATCCCTTTCTTAAAATAACATAGTTCATAGACTAAAAAAAAACAGACCTGTAACAAAGGGCGCACAAGATTTAGCTTAGTTGTTGACGGTGGAGGCAATCACATCAGTACAAGCCGCTCGCTTCCCTGCTTGCCATTTGCCTGTGAATATGGCAGGGAAGAGATATGGAGATGAACATAGGAATTGAACCAACCTCTGGGTGTAGCAACGTTGAAGAACATATGGTTGGCCAAGCAAATTTGCTACCAGTTACAGGCTCATGGAATCACAAGATTCAAATCCATTGTTAAATCTTCATATAATGTATGACCAATCTTCTTCATTTTCATATGCAGATCATGAAGTAAAAGATAAATATTTTCAGATTGGCAATGAGAATTGTCGCCCACTACGAACACGTGCACTGCATTATCAACTTCTATCCAACTGCAACCAGGTTGCTTCTTCAATCCCTTATCCTTCATTTTCAACCTTACTTTGGCAGCTTCTCTCCATTTTCCAGTTGAAGCATATATGTTAGATAGCAGCATAAAGGTTCCAGCATTCTCTGGTTCTGTTTCCAAAAGCTTTTCAGCCGTTAACTTACCCAAATCTATATTGCCATGAACATTACATCCAGCAAGAAGCGCTGCCCAAACAGACGATGAAGGCTTATCCTCAAGCCCTTTGATGAAATCAAATGCCTCTTGGAGTCGTCCCGCTCGGCCAAAAAGATCGACCAAGCATGTGAAATGATCTTCTCTTAGTGTTATAGACCCATCTCTTACGAGATTTTCGAAGTATTTCAACCCCTCATCCACAAGGCCAGCATGACTACAAGCAGAAAGCAACGCGATATAGGTGACATTATCTGGACGAAATCCCAATGCCTGCATTTCATCAAATAAACGAATTGCTTTGTAGCCATGGCCATGATGAGCATAGGCTGCAATCATCCCATTCCAAGAAACTACATCTCTGTGGCTCGTCGATCCATCATCGAATATCTTGCGAGCCATATCCAACTCCCCACATTTTGAATACATGCTTATTAAAGCTGATACTACATCTGTAACTCCTTGGTATACCGACTTACTTATTATCTGGTGAATCTGTTGTCCCTCGCAAAGACCGGCTAAGTTACTACAAGCACCCAATACACTCACAAAAGTTCCTTCATTTGGTTTTACATTGTTGGCTGCTTGCATTTCTGAAAAAATCTTCAATGCTTCTTCACTTTGCCCATCTTGTACATGTCCAGAAATCATTGCTGTCCAAGAAACAACATTTTTGTTAGGCATTTTATAGAACAAATCCACTGCCCTTTCAAGCTTGCCGTTTTGAATGAACCCTGTAATCATGGCGTTCCATGAAGGCACATCCCTCTCTGGAATTTTCTCAAACAGTTCAAAGGCCTCATCCAGCCGCGTATTCTGAGCATACCCAGTAATTATAGCATTCCAGGAAACCACATTTCGCTCAGGCATTTTATCGAACACTAAACGGGCATCATCAATTCTCCCATTTTTTGCCAAACCAGCCACCATGGCCGTCCAAGAAATCACATCTCTCTCTGGCATCTGGTTAAAGAGCTCCTGAGCTTCATCTACCCTCCTCCTTTTCATCAATGCTGTAATAACAGTGTTCCAAGAAACCACATTCCTCTCAGGCATTCTTTTAAACAAATCAAAAGCCTGATCGACCCAACCCTTTCGCGCATACCCTTCAATCATAGTGTTCCACGAAACAACATTCTTAACTGGCATGGCATCAAACAAGCTTCTAGCCTCTTCAATCCGGCTCAATCTTACATATCCACTAACCAATGCTGTCCAAGTAACAACATTCTTTATAGCGTCATCTCTATCAAATAGCTTCTTAGCTTCCTCAATCATTCCACATTTGATATACCCTGTAATTACTGCAGTCCATGAGACCACATCTCGATCGGGCATTTCCTCGAACACCCTACGTGCCTCTCCGATTTTTCCTTCTTTACCAAGCTTTGTGATCAGCCAGTTCGTGCGTGCAACATTCGAATTGGCACTATAGTCTCTATCTGTTGATGAGATTTTGGGCACAACTTGATAGGTAGAAAACGGCGACGATAACCTCGAGTTGTGCGAATTGCACAAGATACGCACATATCTAGCAAAGCAAGAAAGAAGAACTCTGGTCGTCTCTTTAGCATAAATTTCCCTAATCGGTACCTGATACAATAAAGACATTTGTATCCACTTATTGCGTATCCCCGCCGCCTAAGGCTCGCCGGAGAAGAAGATTGAAGAAACAACGGGGCGGCTGCATACGCCGTGGCTCGTGAAAGACGGAGAAGAAGACAATCATGCTTTCCATTTTTGTTCTCTTTCCATTTTTTCCCCATATTTTCTTTTTCAAAATAAAAATCAATTTATAAGTTTTTTTTTTTTTTTTTTTGTAATTTTAATAAAATTTTGAGAATTAAATTAATTTTAAATTGCATCAAAAATAATTATAAATTACTAATAAATACTTTAAATTAATTTACTAAAAATGTAGATTTTAAAGAACTTTTAATTGAAATAGTTATTACAAAAAAATTCTTTTTATTTATTAAATTAAATTCCAAAAAATGCTTTTAAAATAAGCTCTAACTTTGCTTTCAGCTTCCCAAAAGCCCCAGATGTATTTTTTTACTTATAAATCATTCCCTAAATTAACCAATGTGGGACTCGCTCCCAATCATCTCCAACAATTAAATATTTATTTTTTAATATATATATATATTAAACACACGATCATTCTCTCTATATATATATTAAACTTACGATCATTCCTTAAATTAGCCGATGTGAGACCCACTCTCAATAATCTTTAACAATTAAATATTTATTTTTTAAATATAAATATATATATATAATTAAAAAAAATTCGTCACATTTCTAATGTTTAGACATATATCATCGACCAAAATAATATTCCAACATTTTTCTCGACAAATTTTAAACAAAAAAATAATTAAAAAATTACACATTATTTGATAACAATAAAAATAAAAGTACAAGTTTAGAAGATTCCAAGCACTTGGTCAATTAATTTGTTTGAGTTGTAAATGGGACAACCAAACCAGACAACCCTTAATAAATGCTCGAATTCTATTGGCTAATAAAATTCGGTAAACCATAGATATCAAATATTTAACGTGAAAAAAAAAATTTGATCCATAACTTTGGTACTCATTATAATCAAAAGACAATTACCACATGACCCACATTAATTTGTGGGTGGTTGCCCTAAAGATTCATTATTAAAGCCCATTTAATATCTTACCTCCAACACTTTCATATGCTAATAATTTAAAAAATCAAGGCTCTATCCAAGTGAACCGAGTCGCATTATAAACCAATGATTCGAAAGTGTGAGATACCTTTACCAACTAAGAATATTAATAAGTTCGGTTGGATCTGATTGTTCGGGTAAAATTTTTCAACCAAAATAATTGTTATTGAATAATATATCCAAACGAAGCCAACTATAATATTTTTTGGTTGGGCTGGTTTGAGTTGTTTGAGTCATTTATTCAAATTTTGTATTTGTATATAAGTGAATATTTATTTTTAAATATTTAATTAAGATGGATAATTTATTTTGAAAATTTACCTCATTTATTTATGGAAAATAAATAATAAAAAATAATTATGAATCAAAATAAAATAAATATATGGAAAACAAAAATATATTTTTTAAAACTTAGTCATTGAATTTTGTTGTTTGTGCCCATGTCCAACCTGTTCTCGAAGAAATTATATAAATTTAAACGCTTATATTCTTTTACTGTGATATTCAAGTAAAGGAAGTAGGTGACTCAATCAATATCATTAAAAGTTAACATCTAATACTCTAAGTTAGACATGTTTTATTTAAAATAATAAAATAATTTAGTATTTGACGTTCTAAGATTTATTTTTATTTTTTTATTTTATATATACAAAACAAAATATTTTAAATAGGTGGAACTCGTGTGAATCCCACCTTGCAAGGCTAAATACTCTTGGGTGACCGATAGCGAAGTAGTACCGTGAGAGAAGGGTGAAAAGAACCCCATCAAGGAGTGAAATAGAACATGAAACCTTAAGCTTCCAAGCAGTGGGAGGAAACCAGGACTCTAACCGCGTGCCTGTTGAAGAATGAGCCGACGACTCATAGGCAGTGACTTGATTAAGGGAACCCACTTGAGCCGTTGAGGGATCATATTTTGAATCTATTAAGGGAACCCACTTGAGCCGTTGAGGGATCATATTTTGAATTAAGATTCCAAATTTAGAGCAAAAGTAAAATATTAGTTATTAATTAATAAATAAATAAGAGTGTATTGTAGAAAGTCAAAATGTAGAAATTATTTTATTGGTTGGTTGGCCACAATTATTAATAAAATACTCCATTGGATGCATTGGATTTTATTTTTTAAAATAAAAAATTATGCGTACAATTGAATTCAGCCGATATATTCCAAAAATACAGTAACATTTAATTTCCTTGGGAATGCACATTTTAACGTTGCTTTCTATTTTTTCATGACAGTAATTATTTTTGAAATTAATATTAATTTTTTAGAATATTTTTTAAAAATTAAGATTATGGAATAGACAGTAATTATTAAGATTATGGAATATTAATTTTTTATAGTTAGATTTGTGTCGGTTCATTTGTTTAGGTAAAAAAAATTTAATTTAAAAAGTTTAGCTCTCGTGACTTTATTTTGGGCTTCCTGAGATGCCTCGTAATAATGAGGATGTATTTCTTGTTTATAAACCCATCATCGTTCCCTAAATTAGTCAATGTGGGACTCTCTCCCAACAATTCTTCACTCGAACAAAGTACACTATAGAATCTCTCTTGAGGCCTATGGAGCCCTCAAATAGACTCTCCTTAATTGAGGCTCGACTTCTTCTCTGAAGCTCTTGAACAGAGTACACTCTTTGTTCATCACTTTAGTCACTTTTGACTAAACCTTTGAGGCTCACAATTTTTTGTTTAAATTTGGGGATTTTATTGTCATGACTAAGTTTAGGACATGACTCTGGTACTATGTCAGGAATCACCATCTTCTACAATGGTACGATATTGTCTACTTTGAGCATACTCTCATAACTTTATTTTAAACATACCAAAAGGATACCAATAGATATGTATTTCTTATGATCATTCCCTAAATTATTGGACATAAATTATATATATATTAATTAGTTTTAAATAAGGCAATTTCCAAAGTCCCAACCGCGTTTCTTCTGCAGCTTGTGGTGACTGTTAGAGAGAGAGACAGAGAGGAGAGAGAGATTTCATCTCCTTCTTCTTCACCGAATTCAGTTCCTTCTTTAATCCGCCATTTTTCTCAACCGGTTTGAACAACAAGAACCAGAAGAAGAAGAAGAAGAAGAAGAAGAAGAAGAAGAAGCTGTTTAGTTCTTCGATTCCCTCTCTATGGGCTGTTCTGCTTCCAGACCCATCACTTTCCCCTCCGCCGACGCTGAGACGGCTTCCCCTTCCTCTCCGCCGCTTCCCAGAGCTTTCTCTCTTCCGACGCCGCTCATCCACCACCCCCCCATCAAACACGGCGACACCCACCATCTCGTCACTCTCACTTCCACCACCTACGGTTCTCTCCTCCTCATCGACCGCCCCAACCCCAATGCCTTCAAATTCACCGCCCCAGAACACGCCGACCACTCTCAATCATCCACCGCCGCCGATTCGGACCACGCTTTTTCCCCCGATTCCGTCATCAACACCTGGGAACTAATGGACGGCCTCGATGACCCCATTCCAAACCCCAACCTCGCGATTCAGAAACCCCCCTTCAAAACCGTCGGATCCGAGGATTTCGATGCGCCGTCTTCCTTAGTCAAACCGCTCTGGCAGCATTTGTCCGAAGAAGCTCTCCTCGCTAAATTAGACCCTAACGTCGTTTTAAGTTACCGACGAGCTCTCTCCTCCCGGCAATTAGCCTCCAATGGCTACCAAAAAACCGCCAAATCAGTCGATTCCAGTCCGATATGTTCTTCATTCCCCGGCGGAGAAGACAAAGTAGTAATCTATTTCACGAGCTTGCGAGGAATCCGGAAAACCTACGAGGATTGCTGCTGGATTCGCACGATCTTCAGAGGATTCAGAGTTCCGGTGGACGAACGCGACATTTCCATGGATTCATCGTACAGAAAAGAGTTACAGAGTGCGATTGGAGGGAAGAAATTAAGTCTACCACAAGTGTTCATACGAGGAAATCACATCGGCGGTGCCGAGGAAATCAAACAGCTAAACGAGTGCGGGGAATTGGGAAAGCTCTTAGTGGGATTTCCAGTTCGGGAGGTGAAAACTGTGTGTGAACGGTGTGGGGAAGCGAGGTTTGTGCCGTGCCCTAACTGCCATGGCAGCCGGAAGGTGTTCGAAGAAGAAGAAGGAGAGCTGAGAAGATGCCCTGATTGTAATGAAAATGGCTTGATTAAGTGTCCTGATTGCTGCATCTGAGTGCAAAGAATTTAGGTACGATATCAAAACGCTTCTTCTTTGCTGCAGCTTGTTCTTGTGATTTATTTGTTCATATTGGTATGAACACTGTATAATCATTATCTATGTGTTCTTCTAAATATATCTGAGTTATGAACCCTAGATCTTGGGTTCGTTCGAGTTTTTAAGATGTTTGAGAATAAGATAACTTAAATTAGATTGAGCTTATGTTAATCGATCCAAATGACTTTGTTCGATTGTGTTATGGAAGGCTTATGTTTTGGCTCCCAACCTAAATAGATGGATAATGCATAAGGTAAAATAGTGAACTTACTGTGTATTAAGAGAGGGGGAGGACGGGTTTTGGTTGCGTTAAGCAAACAGTGTCGTAGATAATTGGACAACGTTTTTGTGATGTCCTACATTGGTTGGGGAAAACAACAAATCACCCTTTATAAGGGTGTAGAAACCTTCCCCTAACAGACGCGTTTTAAAGCTTGAGGGGAAGTACGAAAGGGAAAGTCAAAAGAGGACAATATCTGCTAGTAGTGGATCTGGGTCGTTACAAATGATATAAGAGCCAGACACTGGACGATGTGCTAGTTTTCTTGCTCTTCCCTGAAAGGGGTAGACATGAGGCAGTGTGTTAATAAGGACGCTAGGCTCTAAAGGGGGTAGACACGAGGCGCGGTGTGCCAGTAAGGACGCTGGCCCCAAAGGGGGTAGACACGAAGCGGTGTGCCAGTAAAGACGTTGGCCCCAAAGGGGGTGGATTTGGTGGTGGTCCCACATCGGTTGGTGAAAGGAACGAGTGCTAGCGAAGACGCTGGGCTCAGAGGGGGATGGATTGTGATGTCCCACATTCGGTGGGAGGAGAACAAATTACCTTTATAAGGGTGTGGAAACCTTCCCCTACCAGATGCCCTCTTAAAACATTAAGGGAAAGCCCGAAATGGAAAACTCAAATAGGACACTGCTAATCTGGGTCGTTAGTTTGTTCGGTTTAAAATCATTTTTAAATAAATATTTAATCATTAAAATTATACTTTTAAGCATGATTGTCTTACTACTAAATTGATTTTAAATAATTAAAAATGTGTTCTAAAGTGATTTTAGTCGTTTTGAAATGAAACGAACTGAGTGGAAGGTTAAAAGTGAATGAAAAAGGTTCTTTAAAATTTTAATTTTTTTATTAAAAAAAAGAAAAGAAAAGAAACAATTAGGATTTTTTTTAATTTTTATTTTGGATATATATATATATACACCCTTGTATTTTGAAGATAGGGTTTTTGTCTTTTGTCCATGGTAGGTAATTGGTTGGCCTTTTATGATGACAAGTAGCACCAATACTTTCTACAGCTTTTATTATTTAACTATTTAAATTATTATTTTCGTAATTTATTAATTAAACTATGCTCGTGTTAAAATAATTATATAAAAAAATAAATTATAATAAGTAGTTTTAATAAAAATAATTTGTTTATAAATTATTTATTAAAATTAAAATTTATAATTATTTTGATATTTAGTTCTAGGAGTGGTTTTAGAATAAATATTTTTATAATTAATAAATCAATTAATTTTAATTTAAAAATTAATAAATTATGAGGTTTTTTTTAATAAAAAATATTCATAGATTTTTTTAAATGTAAAATTAAGGGTAAATAAATAAAAGTACCTTTAATTTAAAAAAAATTGTAATTTAATATACCCATCGATCTTATCTTCTTCACGATCTTGACGTCACAATAAAAGAGGTTTTTATCGCCTAAAGCTCTGATACCGTAAACCCTAGCACTGAATTCAGCTCTCCTCCAATCAAAGCTCCAACAATGGCGATCTCAGCATCATGCGGTCCATTCATGTAATTTTCTTCATTATTTCACGAATGCGAGCTGGTTGTTGCTTTTGAACTCGATTCCACCTTTAAATAGCGAGAGACGAATCAGGGGAAAGTGAGAAGAAGATCGAAGCAGATATGGGCAGCACCCCGAACGATTTCTCTGTCATCATTCTCCCTTCCGAATGCGGTATTGATTCGCGGCCACTTTTGGCTGATAAAGGCAAGGACAAGGAGTCTGAAGAGGCTGAAAATTGGCACGATTGCGTTCAAAACCTTTCATCTGATGAGGATTTCTCCGATCTCGATCTCTTGCAGTTTGTCCGTCTCGAGGGCTCCGATAAGGCTGGGAATCGAATCCTCCGCGTCGTCGGGAAGTACTATCCAGGTAAAGCAGCGATTCCGTATTATGATTTTTCTTCTGTTATTGATTTTTGAGGTTTCATTGTTTTAGTTTGACAATTTCGAGACTTAATGACGAATTTACGGTTAACCTCTTCTTAGTAGTAATGTTCTTAGCCCTCTGTCTTCTCTTGATATCACCATAAAATTGATGGGGCTAACGTTTAAGCACAAACTTCTGTTCCGAAATATTGTTTAATATTTTCTTGTATTAGAATTCAATAACTGCAACTTGCTTTCTAAGCACGATATTTCTTCGAACACAGCTGTGGTTGTAAGTGGAGAGCGGCTGAAGAAATATATCCTCCATAAATTTCAGAACGAATTGTCAGAGGGTCCATTTTGCGTTGTGTACTTTCATACAACCGCCCAGAAGGACGATAATTGTCCTGGCTTAACCATCTTGAGGTGGATTTATGAAGAACTTCCGTCTGATTACAAGGATAGACTTCAAACTCTCTACTTTGTACATCCTGGTCTCCGTTCAAGGCTTGTCTTGGCGACTCTAGGCCGGTTTTTCCTAAGTGGCAGGTGAGTGCGTTCACCATATGTTGAATTTGTTGAGATTTGATCAATATTTTTAATTAAATTAAGGTTTAACATTTGCAATTAATGCTGCTTCTTTATGCGTAGAATTCAGTTTCTTCTTATTAGTGCTTCAATTAGTAATTGTTTATCTTCTTTTTGATTTCACAAACTTTGAGAATTTTACCATTGCTCTTGCAATATTATTATCATTTATTTTTGCAGCTGAAATTTTCATAGTTTTCAGTTGATACTTTTACAATCACGCCTTTTCTTTCATCATACTGTATATATATGTATGTATGTATATGTATATGTATATGTATATGAACATGAAAGCAGTTACATTCTCATACCCGGTTTAGTTAGTTTAGTTATTATATATATATATGTATTTATGTATATGTATATAATAATAATTTTTTTTATTGATGTATTCTATAAGCAAATAACAAGGGAAGAAACAGGTAACCGTTCTTCTTCGTAGGGATGTAATCAATATGATGCTACCAGAAATTATTAGTATCGTTGGAAATATATAGTTTTTTTCAATTCTTAAAAGCATCTCACTAGAAAATATAATCTTTACGGTAGTGGGGAGAACCTATGGTATGAGTTACTATGGTTGTTTAATTTACTTGAAATTTTGTGCTATCCGTCTCCTCTAATGCTGTATATCTTGAATGATTTATGCCTAGAAGTTTGAAAGCGTATTAAACATACATCTTGTGTAGTTTGTTTGATAAGATTTATTCTCCTTTTGTAGTTTGTACTGGAAAATCAAGTATGTGAGCCGCCTTCAATATCTTTCAGACGATATAAAGAAGGGAGAGGTTGAAATTCCTGATTTTGTGAAAAGTCACGATGAAGTTCTTGAACACAGACCATTGACAGATTACGGCATTGAACCTGATTCTCTCAATGTCACAGGGGCACCTTATTCTGCCCACTCCTTTGGGAGATATGAGGAGAGATGGACGTCAAGGCAGTACATGATGTAGTAAGCCTGGTTAAAGAAGTTGTATTTGATCTCAGGCAACTCCAAGGCTTATGGGCAATTAACATGAGCCATGGCTAAACAATAAAAAGTTTGTACATGTGTTGTGTAGCTTGTATTAGTAACTTCTCTAGTGTTGCTTGCAAACTGAATGGGATGTTATTTCTGATTGCCTGCCAATGTTAGATGCTCATTTATTTTATCCTTACCAACTGGTTCAAATGTTTAATTATCTGTCAATGGGCTCTTGTGTTCTTCATTATGGTTGTAGTTGATAGCTTATTCAAATTATTTTATCTCGTGTCATATAATGCAAGGAGATAGCGTGACCTTGCATCTAATCACCCTAAGGTATATTGAGGGCGAGTTCGACACGATTTTTGAAAGGGGATAAATAGTGCTTTTCAGCTTATTTAGAGCATTTTTCAAAACTTTTATGAAACTTTTATGAAACTTTAATAACTCTGGAAAGTACTTTTAGAGTAAGTATTTCTCGTAGAAAAAGTACGAACTTTGCAGCACATTTAAGTCATCAAGGTAATTCACTTTGAGATTAAGGCATTTGAGTTTCCTGCTTTTAATTGTTTTGTTCTTCTACATGGCAAGGAGCAAGAAAATGCAAAGGCTACAGGCAGGAATGTTGTTTATGGATATGATTGCATTACAATACACACCACAGAATCATAATGGAGTTTCCAATTACCAAATCTCTGTCTTGACTCTGGTAGTTGCATTGGGTGCGAACAAGTCATGACGGTAAGGATTCAGGGCTGTAAATTTCTGACAAACTTGAAAGTTCCTTGGATGTCTAGTTTCCTTCACTCTTTATATGTAAATTATTCATCATGTTCTCTGTTAGATGATATTATATTTTGGTTTCAGATTATTTTAGGAGTGAATTTTCATGGTGTGAAGGAGGAAGAAAACCCTGAAGAGTTTATGAACCAGACTGATCACCCAGAGCATTGGAAGAAGAATAGACACATCTCACAAGCCAAGGAAGGTTAGTTCAAATATATAACAGTGACCAAAAACTTTATAATTACAATCTATGTTATATAACCTTTTTGGGATTTGAATTTATATTTTCCTCATCTACCATGTCTTGTTAGAAAGATTGGCCTTTTTGGTACAAAGGAATAATGATATGATCAGAATCAGGTCTAAAACTTGTGTATGCTCTAGAAAATCTTAGGCAAGTACAGGTGCAAGTCTCTATCTCGTAGATAAAAGTTGATTTATACAATACACTAGATCCCTTGTTGCTGATATAACACTAATTACAATAAACAGAACAATCACCCAGGAGGATCAGCAGCATGCCTCACAAAGCCAACAGCAGCACAATGCAAAAAGACTGCATCCAATCCACAAGTTTATCAGGTAACATTTTTTTTTTCCTCAAGTGAAAAATGAAAGGAAAAAAAAAAGAAAAAAAAAAGAAAGAAAATGCCCACCATCCTTCAATAAAACTTCTATCTCCTCGTTTCTTTGTAGTGTCCCAGAACCGTTTCTTCCTGCCTGTCCTGGCATCCTCGGTCGGGTGCCCTATAGTTTAGAACAGTTAGATTGAGAGACAGTGTGAAACCTTTGAGGGAGAGGAAGAGAGAAATAACCTGGTGGGTGATGGTCTTGTTTTGCTTCTGATATGGGCATCTTTGAAGCTTTGAGGTAGAATATTGTCTGCTATTACCCATATATATATATATCGATCCAATCCTCACTAAAGCTTGTAGTGTTTCGTGGGAATAAAGCTTAGGAATATGATTCTGATACTGATGACCAACTTAACTTCAACTTGATTGGCTTCCCATTTCATTTTTAAAGCTTTAGATTCTTTAGAAATCAAACCATTCACACTTCGTTTTAACCTTGCCAATAACTATCATATTCTCGAAGATTTTGCCATGGAAATAAGGTAGCAGTTTTTGCTTATAATACCCACGAAAAATTCTCTTAGAAAGCTAGATGAAGATCTTGTGGTAGAAAATAAACCAAGTGGAAGGGATGGGTAGGCGTACAAAAATTAGACTACATGCCCATGTATATCTATTTGGTTCTGAAGTTTTCAAGACTAATTCTTTTGATCCTTGAGATTTGAATTTGGTTTTCATTTGATGTTTGATCATTGAAGTTTGAATTTGCTTTCTAATTGGTCCTTGTAGTTTGAAGATCAGTTTTTATTTAGTCCCCCACATTGTTATTTCTCTATATTAATCAATAGAAAGTGATTTCATTAGATTAAGTGTTAGTTTAGTCATATAGAAGATATTAAGATTCTATTTATTATATTGTCATTTCCCTGCTGGAATAAGCTGGTTTTTATGACTTAGTAGGTAGAGTGGGCTGAAGTCATTACAAATTGAAAGCCCAAGAAATGAGTTAGAGGTCCACAAGTCCAAGCCAAAAAAAATTAAAAGCTAGAGTGCTCCATTAGAATTTTAGAACAAGTTAGTTAAAAAGATGTTCACAAAAGTACGAAGATCTTAAAATTTCTACCATATTCAACGATTGCCCGCAAAACATTATGTCAACTATATGAAGACTAACCTAATTGAGTGGAGATCAATTACCTAAAGTTGGATATAGAAGAGAAAAATCTAAAGTTTTATATGACCAAAGTTCGATGAAATTCTCTCTTGTACTTAGGACACAATAACAAAAGCGTAAGTCACATTATACCAGCTTCACCGAGTAATTTCTCCACGACGAGAAATGTAGGTAAACCAACCAATAGGGTTTGAAATTCCTCACAAAACTAGCTTTAGTTAAAACAACCCAATAGTGATACAAACACAATGGACAAATGTACATTTAATGCAAATACCCAATGGAGGGTTGAAGCTCTTAAACATGAGTTAAAACTTGGGGTTATTGCACAAAACACAGAGCTGATCAGGGGTAAGGAAGGGGGGAAGATGGAGCAAACCCAATGAGACAGGCAAATCCAGAGGGAACCAAAAGACAGCAAAAGGAATGAAACAAAACCCTGAAAGAGAGACGAGACTTGTGAACCCTCTTTCTACATCTCTCTCTCTCTCTCTGTTTTAATGAAGTGTCCCATTACAATCACCAACTGTGTGGCTTCTCTGTACGCAACATGTTTACCAAAAGACAGAAAACTG